TACGAAAAAAAAAAAACAAAATAAATTTAATATGTCACATTGTTTACTTTATTTACATTCCTTATCTTTTCGTTCTTATCTGGTCAAAGAAAATTGTTCGCATGAAAATTTAAAACTATAAATATTCGATCAAAAGGGACTTCAATTAAAATATCGTAATCTTCTTCGTCATTTCTGTATTTTAAAAAACGATCAACTGGTTTTTTTTTGACGTATTGATCAATCTCTGGAATATAATTAACGGATAATGTGAATTTCTAATATATAAAATTCTCGTGTCGTGTTTGTAATTGAACTCCTCCGAAACGGCTTGACCAATTTTCATGAAATTTTGTGTGCATATGGGCCAGGGTGGAGAATCGGACAGCATTTATTTTTCATCCCCCTAAATGTTAAGGGTGGTCCACCCCAAACATTTTTTCTACCCTACAAATAATTTATAATGCAACACATCGTTTCGCCGGGTCAGCTAGTGAATATATAATAGTCGGACATTGATATTTTAAGTATTAACTGAAATAAGATCTGTAATATAAATGAAATATTAACATTTATTTTATATTGTTTATATATATCGTCCACTACTTTGAAATGAGAAAATTCGTAAGTCAGTAAAATCGGGCTGTAATGTCTCAATTAGTAGGATAAATCGAGTCAGATGGTTAAATTCCTTGCAATGGGCGGTACTAGGTCATTTGTTCCATCGTTTAGTCAAACTACGTAGTCACAAGCGTAGCGTCACTTTCTGCTGTATATAGACACAGCTGTTTCTGGAATTCTTAACCCCTAAACATTTTATGAGGTAAGTCTTGCTTTTCCTTTAAGAAACAAGTAAAAGCTCATAATTTGAAACTTTAATTGCATGCCTCCTTCATTGATTTTATCTACGAATGACTTCAAACTGTGCCTTACATTTTGTATAACTCTGCTATCTTTATGTTTATATCAAAATATTCCGATTACAAAAGTTGACTGGAGCGATAAGACCGCCAACTGTCAATACATTTTACAATTTTGTATTATATCTCCCAAACATGTTTTCGGTGTACAATAAAGCAAATATTGATTGATTTTTTCAATACTGAAGTTGGTTTTGTTATAAATCAGTACTCATGCAGCAATAAAAAACGAAGAGGTTATAAAATGCAAGGTGCAAGGATCTGCAACCTTACGGGTATTGCAAATGTCAAAATCATATAACGGTGCAATGCAGAAAGTTGCCAATACTTTTAATGTTGTTCTAAGTAATCTCTGTTCCTCTCAATATAACTTCGCAATCTATGGAACCACTGATAAAAGCAATTTTGTGGGCCCATTCTTCCTTACGAGGATTGTAAAGCGAATACCGCAAAGTTCTTTAATTTTTGGGAATATACGATAGTCGCAGGGCGCCAGGTCGAGATTTCATGGCGGATGACTGCCTTAGTCAAACATTCAATTGTTTGTTTTGCGGAGTGTAGTACTTCGAGGACGTTGCTATCGAACATTTTCTAAAACAACAGGGACACAACAGTTGACATACTGCAGTAACTGTCCTATGGTACATCTTGCAGCACAACTGTCGCGAAATGACCTTTCCGGCCTAAGAACTAGGCAATCATCTTTTGTCCTTGAATTCTTCCTTTCTTAGTTGGCAAAGGCAAAAGGCAATCCTCAAAAGGCAACACCCACTGAGCAGATTGTCTTTTAGTTTCGGGTTCGTAGCAACACATCGTTAGAGTTGAACTTTTGACGAACTGTCATCTAGAATTTTTCGTTTTAACGTTTTTCGAAACCATTCCATGCGAAGGTGTTTCTAGTCTTTCTGTCAAAGTATGGGGAGGAATCCATCTGGTACACAGTTTCCTTACCCTTAAATGGTCGTGTAATATTTTGTTTACTTGCCCGAATCTGCCTTAGTTCAGTCTCTAATATTCCTCTATCATGCGTCGCACAACACTGATGTTATCTTCAGATGTTGCTGTTGAAGGACGTCCCTCGCCTTTGAAATTTTGCAATAAGTATTGACATATTGTATTATTTATCATGCTGAGACTATTTTTTGTGTAATTTAAATATATTTGGAGATTTTGCACTTTTGATTTAGATTTTCTTTTATTCATCTTTTATTATTCCACGTAAAAAGGCTTTTGTGATCTTCCACCCATATACGAGAATCAGTATTAATATATGTCTTTATATTAAAATATGTTAATAAGTCAATAGTAACACCTAAGCTAATAGTAATATTCGTTAAGTATGAAATTTAATTAATTAAAATATTTTTCATAAGTTACGAAAAATATAATGTTTAAAAAAAGGCGCATATGATATAACGAAAACCGAATTACGTAAAAAGGCAGATGGTATTTTACACCTCTATCCGAGGTTTTCAGTAAATTAATAGTAATGAACATAAATTTCGTGACAATTAAATAAATTTTTTTACTCACCAATATAATATCAATATTTTTATTAAAAAGTAAATATATAACTATAAGTGATGTTCTGGATATCCGTATCCGCGGATATCCATCGGTAAAAAAAAAGATCCGTATCCGTATCCGTATCCGCTACATTTTTGACGGATCTTTTACAGATCTTTACCCTTATAATCGTAATAAAACAATAATTCTAATTAAGTAAATCAATACACTGTGACACTCAAAGTGTTAACTTATGAAAAACACAGTGACAATTAAAGGAATGGTAAATTGTACTTCAAAAAGAGTAACTTGGCAGCTGTATCCCCCAAAAGTCATGATAAAAAATGAATATGTGGGAGAAATATAAATATAAACATTTTCGGATACATTTTTTTCAAGCCCCAAACTAAGCAATGCTTGTACTATGGGTACTAGAAAACTGTTAAACATACGAAACATACTTTTCTTGTGTAAATAAATACATGTTATACATTTATAGACACCCAGACACTGGAAAAATACGATGTTCATCATACAATATTTTTCCAGTAATGGAGATCGAACCCACACCCTCTGAGGCAAGAGACATGTTCACTACCTACTCCCCACGCCAATCGGGTCGTCAAGTCGTATGACTGAGACCTCCAAACTTTTTACTGTTAATCTGCCAATACTTTAGTGGATCGTGGCTCTCTTGATAATTTTTTTTTCTGACATGTACTGTATGTGCAAATGAGTTTACGTGTCTTATATTCATCATCATAACATGTTAGCCATAGACTCTTCTAGACTCTGGCAAAAAACATTGTTTGTCCTTAGTACTTTTAGTAGTTGCTGTGAGATTTACTTCATTTTCCACAGTTGTAAGCAATTTTTTTTATTCCTTTGACCCGTGGGTGTAAAAATGTGGTTATTTGAAACAATTTTTTTTATCAATTTCTGAAAACTAAAATCTAATTTATCTTTCGAATCAGACACAAAATCATGGTCGGTGGATACACTAATATTGAGGTTTTCCTGGATATTAAGTTAAGATCCGTATCCGTATCCGTATTCGCGGATATTGACGCCAATGATCCGTATCGGGATCCGTATCCGCGGATCTACAATTTTAATGATCCGGCACATCACTAATAACTATGTCTTACCTTTTTTTTTTTGTTGACGTGAGGGAAATGCATACCCGCCCTCGCGGGGGCAAGAGCGGGTTATGTCGGACTCGCACCGACTAAAACCCCCACAATGTTACACCTAGGCGCATATCGGCAGGGTCACGGGAACGCTTTCGCACACTTCCGCGACCCTGCCAGCACTGGCCGCCTTAGCAGCCTGCTCACGGGCAGCAACTCCCCTCTCCTCCAGGTAAGGCGCGCTGGAACATTCAGCGCGCCTTACCTGGCCTTCCTACTCGGCCCCATTTTCACGGCCAACGAACTCCCCCGAGTTCGCTGACCGGGGCCATGGGGGCCAGGAGAGCCAGTGCTAATAAGCAGCAAGCCTCCCAGCCCCCAGCGGCGGACCTGGTCTGTGGCTCCACCGCTCACCACGTTTCGGCCGCGGAGGATAGGGAGAACGGCGCACCGCAATACCGACACTCCTCTCTCCCCGCGGCCCCACCACCACTGCATCAGCGGTGCAACCCCGCTGAGTCGCGGAGGGTAGGGAGCACGGCCAACACAATACCGACACTCCTCTTCCCCCGCGACTCCTCCTCGACTAGCAGAAGACGAGTAGATTGGTTCCACCTACTACCCTCGACCTGTCCCCTGCACCCTCCAGCATGCATCCAGACTGGGCTCAATGAGCCCACCCGGAGCGGCCCTTTCGGGCCCTGCCTTACACCACAGGCCGGCCCAGTGTGGGTTCCTCTTAGCTTCGCCGTGGGTGACCAAGCCACGGCTATTAAGCCACTCCGCCACGTCAAGGCGGGAACCCGGTCGGAGGGGACTATGTCTTACCTGGACATTCAGTGTCATTATTTTGGTTGGATACTATTGTGTTGGATATATTTGGATACTATTTGTGTGGACACTTTTGACCGTTCCTCATCTAAGTGGTACTTCGGTCAAATTCAGAGCGGTATTAGAGCCGGCTGAAGTAAGTGGCACATTCAGTCTCTTTGTATTTGTCCTATATAAAATAGGTTTTATGAATTAGAGCCATTTGCTATTGAATCTTTAGGTCCGTGGGTCCTAGGAGATTTATGTCGTAGACTTATTGCTGCGGCTGGTGACATGAAGGCGGGTCCTTTTACTCAAACGTTAAGCATAATTATTCAGGGGTTGTTGTTAGCATAGTGCCACGTGGATTAACTTAATTAGATAACTTGTAATTTAGTTAGCTGTAATATTGTAAATATTTTTTTTAAATACTTTTTTTAAGTTGAGTAATAAATTAAAACTTGCGCCATCAATTACTAAATAAGAAATGTCAAAGTCAAATTTTAGGGGCACTGGCAATAACATTAATATACCGTCAAATTCAATCCCGTCAAATCAATCGCAAATACTCACATTATTTTGCGAGAAAATTTTATGATAAATTCCATTAATACATAATATATCTTATATAGTTAAATATCAAAGTATAAAAAAAATGTCTTTTTTTATCACTCGATGTGTACGTAGGGTAAGTCAACGATAGCATTTCCGTTTTACCGAAATTTTCTAGAATAATTAAAATCGTAATTGCTTGTTTTAGGTTCTATCCCCAGCCCTTACAACTTTGAAGAAAACAAATTTTTCAACAAGTAAGTACGTTACATAATCAAGTACATTCCAAAAATTATTGATGCCAAAACGTGTTTAAATGTCAATAATTGTTTTTATTATAACAATGACTTGCAATTGCAGTGATTCAAAGTGATGTAAGAAATATAAAAAAATTAGATATTCACAAGTACTTCAACTATCAACTTATAATTTTTCTTATCTTTTTAATCCTTACTTACAACATATTATTTAATAATTAATATTTATAATTAATAATAATATTATAAATGCGGAAGTTTGAATGTATGGATGAATGTTTGTTACTCTTTCACGCAAAAACTACTGAATGGATTTTAATTAAACTTTACAATAATATAGCTCATACATCAGAAAAACACATAGGTTATAATTTATATACACATTTTTATGTATATCTATCTTTCTGTCCTATTGTTACGCCTTCTAGTTGTTCATAATAGTAGTGGTATATAACATAGTTTAATGTAATATTTCAGACAGAATTAAAAAAGTATAGATAAATAATTATCAAATGTACAGACATTAAAATTAAATTCAGTAAAATTCAATTTAATAATATTTAAATTTTAGCTAGTGCTGCCTTTGCCCCTAGGATTCAAAAGCAAGCACCTGATTTTTGTGGTACCGCTGTTGTCAATGGAGAATTCAAGCAAGTGAAACTTTCAGACTACTCTGGAAAATATGTTGTTCTGTTATTCTACCCCCTAGACTTGTAAGTAACATACTGATTTTTTTTTTCATTTATTATAAACTATAATTAAATTATAAAAAAATATACACATCAAAAAAGTTGAAGCAACACAATAAAATTAATAAAATAATTTATTAAACATTTTGTTTTTATAAATGAAACTAATTTTACAGATTTATCGCGTTTATTTTTAATTTTAGTTCCCGACGTTTCGAACACTTTACAGTGTTCATGGTCACGGGACAGACTGTCCCATGAACTTACATTACACATTATTACATAATTACATAATTACTACCATGAATTACACATTATTAATGAAAACAGTTTCATGTGTAATCGTGTAAATACAAGAAAAAAAAATTTTTGTTTTTATCTGATAACCGAAAAAAACACCTGTGCATTGAAATATCAATTAGTATTGCTTAAACTTTTTTCATGTATGTAATTGCAAATAAATAATTTTGCCATAAATATAAATTACCCCTTCAGTACAGTAATATAAAGAACCCTAAAAAATCAAGATACTTTACTTTTTTTAACCCTTGAAGATACTTTTTATTAAAGAAAACCTTTTTAAATTACATGCAATACAACCCTGGTTGTTTATTAAACAGCTAATTAATTTTTATTTGTGTTCTAACTTATATCTTATAATTGATTGTTTATTTTCATTTTAGCACATTTGTTTGCCCAACGGAACTGATTGCATTTAGTGACAAATATAAGGAGTTTAGCAACATACAATGTCATGTTATTGGTGTTTCAACAGATTCTGAGTTCAGCCACTTAGCTTGGACGAACACTCCTAGAAAGGTACATTATATGTACTTATTGATAAGATGAATTCTTAAAATAAACTTAAAATATTCTTAAAATACAGCTACAGAAGGGCCATAAAATAGATTTTTGAAAATATTACATAACAGATTAAAATCTTAACTTATCTGAAATATGTGTAATGAATTTTAACATTATTAATTAGTTTAATTATAATTTTTTATTTATTGTTCCGAGTCTGTATACTCAAGGTGGGTTATGTCATGCAAGCAGCTGGTAGTAAAACTATCTAGCCAATGCTATTGACAACATAATTCACATGTGCAAGGATAGTGATGTTCATATATTACAGCATTGATGTGTAACAATATTGTCATTATTGGAAAAATATAAATTTTACAAGACAGAGTTTATAACATTCCAACATTTTTGAATCCAATTCACCTGCATACACAATTATTATGCTATGGATTTGCAATATATGCAATTTATTTATAATAATGTTGTCACCATGTTGTTGTCTTGCTATACACATGAAAAGATAAATGTCTTATTTGTACAAAAAATAAAAATACTTTGTAGATTTGTGAAGTCTTCTAATCCATGTAAGGTTTGCATCACAGATTATGTACTCTTATTTCATATTTCTGACAACTCCATGGCGCAGTTGCCAAGGTATTGGCAACTTTAGCAGAATTTACCCTGTGTAATCAAATTCCCTTTGCAGGATGGTGGATTAGGAAAACTGGAAATACCTCTTTTAGCAGATTACAAAAAGAAAATCTCACAAGATTATGAGGTGCTTCTAGATGAAGGTTTTGCTTTACGAGGTAAAGATACATTTAACTATTATTAATTTTTGAAAACACACGAATCGACGAGTCACTATTCTAACAGGAAGATGTAAACATAAAAACATGTCATGTGATGTTATATGCAAATTGACAATATTTTGAAGATGATTATCAAAATTATTCCATGTGTCTTACATGTATCACACATGTAAGTATGAATTTTTACACTTTGTACTTTACTGAATTCATCGCGTTTTAATTTGATATCGAATTCCCAAAGTTTCAAACCATTTGTTCGAACAATTGAACCACTAAGTTGCTTTATGTCTATACTACCATCAATTATTTTATTATTTATTTATTCCAATTTACCCAAAAAGGAACTCATGACATCTGAGGTCCGGCAGTGTTTGTGAGCTTAATATATAATATTAAACATTATGGGATCCCAATTTGATGATAAACTTAAGGGGTCTCACAACCACAAATGTTGAAAAGAGTCGGAAAATCGGAAATTTAAAATAAAGTAAAAACTAAGTTAACAATGTAAAATATACGCGTAAAAGCAAGTGTAAGGGTTATTTTATGTATATTTTTTTTTATTTTATTATTATATGGAAAACTACAGCATGAATACAAATTATAAAATATGAAAGATTAAAAAAAATTTGATACGTGCGTGCGTGCGTTTGTGTGTGCATGTGGCGAGTGTGTGTGTTTGACTATTGTTCATGTAATAAATATTGGCTAAATTAACGCTGATGCCTATTTACAATATTTTCATTAGTGGTTACCATAGTTTTTGATAGGGCAACATTTTAAATGCATAATACTGTCCTCACTGCTGCACAAATGGGCAGGTCTGTTGGAGAATGTACCACAAGCTCATAGAAGACCTGTGTAAGTGTTCCTTGTTGCACCTGGTGAGTGAGGTAAGCAGGGCTCAAATTATTCAAGGGTGCCAACGCATCTGCAACCCTGGAATGGAAGTGTTATAACTGTCCATGGAAAATTATTATCACTTAACATGTAACACATAGCTCTCTTGCTATTCTCTCTTATGTATACAAGTAACACAGTGTAAAGAAACCTGCGTATGCCGAATATCTCCTCTAAAGGAGGCCTTTTTTGTCCAGCTGATTCCAATCTTATTTGGTTCTTCACAAAATCCATCATCGTTAGGAGTGTGTACATAATCTTTTGCTGGTCTATGTTTTATTGATTATTTCTTTACAGGTCTGTTCATCATAGATGGCAATGGTGTTCTAAGACACATGTCAGTCAATGACCTGCCAGTGGGCAGATCCGTGGATGAAACCCTGAGATTAGTTAAAGCTTTCCAATTTGCGGATAAACATGGTGAAGGTGGGTTCGATAGCCTTGTTAGCAGCAACTGAAAATTTTCAATTCGATTTTCCATTCACATGCTTTTTCTTCTTAGAAAGTGATGGCAATTATACATTTATACCTCTAGTCAATGTTGTAACCTTTCTATTTGCAACTGTTATATTGTCTTGAATATTTTTGTTTTTGATAATCATTAGGAATAATACAAATTGATGCATAGTTTCATCAAAAGATATGATAAAGTAGGTTTACTAAGTTGGTGCATTGGCTTACGAAGTTTGCTTTTATATTTATGTACTATGTTAGTCTTTGCCGTAGGAGGGATATGGTTAAAATATTTTTTTACCCCCGTGGAAAAATCCTGTATGGGGTCCCCTGCCACAGACAAAGTGGTAGGGGTCTATAATAAGGGTCTAATAGTCTACGCCTATGAATACATAGGCCCCAAAATAATTTTTACCCAAATCCACTGAATACATCACAATTACCTTACTTTTTACTACTACCGTACTTTTTCTACATGTTTTAATGTTCAATCTTATGTGCAAAGATTAGCATTATAAAAAAAAACTTTAAAAATTTATAAAAAGCAATGGCGACATTTCTCGTTCGAATTATCGTTGTAAAATGATATTCGAAATTGTTTGTATGCTGGAAAGGATATAACAATAGATCCACAAACAATAGATATAGAGATAACTAAATAACAATGTATAAAGAAGGCGTTAAGATTTTCGTCGCTGTGGCTATCAGCCGTTTAGCTCAGTGGCTAGAACGTCAGGCCGCGAATGCCGAAGACGTGGGTTCGATTCCCACAGCGGCGACAATCTTTCCGTGCTTTTTCTACATGTTTTAATCACAATTACCTATTAAAATAAGCCTTATAAAAAAAGATAATGTCTCACCGAGTTCTAGATAACTCCAATATATTTTTTACATTTTATCTTATAGAGTTTCTGACTGAATTAGGTTAAACTGTATAGTATATTAAAGTAAAGTAAAGTAAAAGTAAGTAAACAGCCTACAAATGTCCCACTGCTGGGCAAAGGCCGCCTCTGTACAAAGGGTATCAGGGCATAGTTCACCACGCGGCCCCACTGCGGATTGGCAGACTTCACATATTTTTCGAAATATATTTTTTGTTATTATTCTGAAATTATGCAGGTTTCCTCAACATATTTTCCTTCACCACTGAGCTCGTGATAAGTCAGCACTTAAAATTAACATTTTCATTGGTGCTAACACCGGGGATCGAACTCGCGTTACTCGAGTATATTTTATTAAAGGCGAGCGCCCGGTCTCTGAGTTATCACTGCTCGTAGAATGTAGATACATCACAAAGTCACTCGAATGACCCTTAAGTGCAGGGAATATCATTGAAAATTTTATTTCAATAGCATAAAAGTGACATCTGTAGTTGTCAAATATTCATAATGATAAAATATCTGTATATGATTGCTGTAAAGGATTCACATACTAAAAAGAGAACAAAGTAAACAATAAGTGATAGATATTTCGATAATTTCGCGTGAATAACGATAAGATAAGCGGTCGGCGCTTAGATTATTGGCTAGTATTCGGGCACAATATCGTAGTATTGAGTACAAAGACTAGCACTTGAAATAAAGATAATCATACATTGCTAGAGCAAAGGAAACAAGATGCAATATTCTGTTATAACTTAAAAAATAAGTAAGGCCACGCAACAGTCTTCGCTAAAGCACGAATGGGCAGGCCCATCCGGGAAGTATCCTCTAGAAGTACCTCTCAGAAGACCGGCGTGAAGTACTTCGTCTAGTGAGTGAGGTAACCGGAGCCCAATTTATTAAAATACAACGCATCTGCCACCCTGAGGGTGTTGCAAACGTCCATGGGCGGCGGTTATCACTTAACATCAGATGAACAGATTGCTTGCCAACTCCTGACATAGAAAATGCATGACGATCTATTGTTATGTCCTTTACAGCAAACAAACAATTTAAAATTTAGTTTTGCAACGATAAATTCGATAGAGAGTTTTAATGTTTTGGAATTCTCAATAATCGTTGTTCTTGTTCGCAGTTTGTCCAGCAAATTGGGACCCAGAGAACAACTCTGCAACAATTAAACCGAGCCCGTTGGAGAGCAAGGAGTACTTCCAAAAAGCAAACTAATCAGCTTGTTTACAATATCCTTGTATAATGTATAAGATTGAAAAGAACATCATAAATAATTAGCATTTAAGTGTGTAGGTACGCAAAAATGAAATAAATATAAAAATATAATAAAACAAAAAATCAAAATGCATATGACTTTTTTTAACTCTTACTGTTTTCATACGTTCCCAACCATATATTTATTTATAGGTGGTAGGGCCTCGCAGCAGCCTCGGCTGTTGCACGAATAGACAGGCCCGTCCGGGTAAGTACCACGACCTCACAGAAGACCAGCGTAAGTATGACAAATAGTACAGCGTGGAAGTATGACAAATACTTTCGCGTTTCGTCTGGTGAGTGAGGTAGCCGAAGCCCAATTTTCAAAAGGTTGTCAACGCATCTGTAACCCTCGGGTGTAGCAGATGTCCATGGGCGGCGGTATTCACTTAACATCAGGTGACCCGTCTGCTCGCTTTGGCAACTTTTCACATAAAAAAAAAACAAAATATATAAGTATACCTATACAAACTTCACTATTGTGGTAACTTACGAACATATTAATTTCCTTGTAAAATTTCGACGTTTCATAAGAACGTGCAAGCGTCTATGTGAATAAAGATATTTTATTATTATTATCAAATTTATAAGGAAATGGGACTTGATGACCCAATAATACAAGCATTGAGTTTAGTTTGGTGCATCAGTCTCCCACAAATGTAAAATTATTAAATCAACATGTACAGCCATCATTTGGAATACTATATAGGTACTGTGGCGAGAAATAAAGAATTATTATATACCATAACCATACGAGATTTATAGAATACAAGAGGACTCGACGGACCTTAACGACGTCATTAACATATAAATAAAAAGAAACCAAAATATTTCATTAAAATCTGTCCATTTAAACTTAACCCAATATATATAAAGATTTTAAGGGTTATCTCTATAGGTATATAAAATGAATCGCTGAATGTGTTGCTAAGCGCAAAGCTCGAGAACAGCTGAACCGTTTTTGGTAATTCTGTTTTTATAATATTCCTTGAAACACGAGGATCGTTCTTACGGAGAGAAAAATTAATTATAGTAAAAAATTGCCTGAAAAAATCTAAAAATAACACATACTAAAAAGAGAACAAAGTAAATAATAAGTGATATTTCGATAATTTCGCGTGAATAACGATAAGATAAGCGGTCGGCGCTTAGATTATTGGCTAGTATTCGGGCACAATATCGTAGTATTGAGTACAAAGACTAGCACTTGAAATAAAGATAATCATACATTGCTAGAGCAAAGGAAACAAGATGCAATATTCTGTTATAACTTAAAAAATAAGTAAGGCCACGCAACAGTCTTCGCTAAAGCACGAATGATGATGATGTACGAAGCTGGCGCGAGGCCTGCTTTAATCGAGTCTCGGGGGCCCTGTCCCCATTACTCGGGCATGTATCTCGACCAGCGAATGGCTGGTCGGTGGTGAGGATGGCCATCGGCCATCCCTATCCCTGACCGCGGTAGCGGCACTTGCGGGTGTACGGCGTTACACGTGGTGTGTAACGCGAGGACGACATCGTCTTCGACACAGCGGCGGAAGTGCGGTCGGGTCTGGCCCCCCAATGGCCTGTTCCGACCGCAGTAGCTCTCGTGGGAGCGGACGTCCGTCAGGAGGACGGGCGTGGAGTGGAGCAATATTCTCCAGGTGTGGGTGTGGTCCGTTGTCAGCCCTGTCGTACAAGCGACGGGCCAACCGGACCACAAACTCCTCGATGGACACGATCTTCAGGTCTCTGGCGATTACGTCGTTCCTGACGTAACGCCCGGCTCCCACGATTGTTCGAAGGGCGAGGTTCTGCTGCGCCTGGAGCCTGCGCCTCTGCGAGGCGGAAACCAGTGCATACCACGCCGGAGCGGCGTAGGTCAAGCGCGAACGGATGTAGGTTTTATAGACGCCCAGTTTCGTCTTAACAGGTAGCTTGGATGCCAGGATTGGGTAAAGGACCGCTCGAGCTGCCCTGGCTTGTCGAACAGAGTGTTCGACTTGGGGCGCCATACTCAGCGAGCGGTCTATCCGGCACCCAAGATACCTGATGGTGTCCTGGTTCGTTATCGCTTGACCTCGCAGCTCAAGCGTGGGTTGGTGTTTGATGTGGCGGATGTAGATGGCGGACGTTTTGTCAACATTGACAGACATCCGCCACTTATCCAACCACTCGGGCAGCAGGTCCAATTGGCGCTGCATCTTCCTCGCCGCAAACGCCGCGTTGTGTGAAGACGTGAAGAACGCACTGTCATCCGCGTACAGGGCCAACAGTACGTCTTCATCCCAGTCGGAGGCGTTTTGCTCCAAGGTGGGAATGTCGTCCGTGTACACCGCATACAGGTGTGGCGACAGACAACTACCTTGTGGTACACCGGCTTTGATACATCGTACCGCCGAGTCGGCTCCCTCGACGTGTACGAAGAACTTCCGGTCCCGGAGAAACGACGCTACTAACCGCACGAGCGCACGGTGGGTGGTGGTATTTTCCAGCAGCTTATGTAGCAGGCCTTCGTGCCACACTCTGTCGAAGGCCTTCTCCATGTCGAGAAGGACCCCCAGACAGATGCGGCCCCGGTTGTACTGGGCCGCAAGATAGTGCAGCACTCGGGCCAGCTGCGCCGTGGTGGAATGGCCGCTGCGGAAACCGAACTGTTCCCTGCGTAGCTCGATGCAGGGAACTATTCTCCGCAGCAGCAACCGTTCAAAAAGTTTGGCTACGTGCGGCAGTAGCGTAATCGGTCGGTAGCTCCCCGGAAGTCGTCGGTCCTTGCCCGGTTTCGGCAGGACGATGATCTTACCGATTTTCCACTCAGAGGGGAAGTGCGCCGTGCGCAGTACACCATTGTACAGGCGGCACAGCGCCACTAACCCCCTTTTCGGTAGTTGCCTTATCGCCAACGTCGTGATTCCGTCGGTGCCGGGTGCCTTGCGGAGCGCGAGATCACTCGCGGCTCTACGCACTTCAGCCGGAGTGATGAAAAGTCCACCATCCAGCCGTGGCACCGGCTCCGACAGGAACACCTGTAAGTGCCGCTCCACTTCTTGGTGGAACGCAATGGCGCCTGGGGCCGATGTGTTGGCCACAAATTGCCCTTCTAGGTGCTCTGCCAATATGTCAGCCCTGTCTTGGGCTGCAGCGTGCTTACGCCCATCGCTACCCACGAGTGGACAGATGGGCTGTGATGTGCGGCTGAGCTGTCGGTTAAGGTGGTGAAGGGAGGTCTGCGACTCGGAGGCCTGCTCAATGCGGCGCTCCCACCCCTCACCCCTGTACGCCTTGATGGCTGCCGACAGCTCGTCCTTGAGCCGATTGAGTTTTGTCTTTACTCGTGGGCAGCAGCGGGTGCGGGCCCACAGCTTTCTAAGCTCCCTCTTCTCGTGTAACCGATCGAGGAGCCTACGCGGGAGCGTGTCTTTTCGGTGCACCCTGCGGCACCGCCTTGGTCGCCGCGCGCAATTCTTCCTGTATTTTACAGGTGATTTTGCGCGCGGCCTGTTCCACGTCTTCCGCGGTTGATATGGGTGCACCGAAGCTAAATGTGGACATTGCCCTCGAATAGGCTCCCCAATCGGTCCTATATTTAGGGCCCCTGGGAGCCAGTGAGTCCGCAGCCAGACTCAGCACGATGAGCACAGGGAGGTGCTGCGTGTCCGCATCGTACAGCACCTCTACCTGGACAGGGCATGGCACTTTGTGGCAGAGCACGATGTCCAGGACATCCGGAACGTGATCTTCGATGGTGGGTATGTGTGTGGGCTCATCAGGGCCCAGCACTTCATAACCCACCTCCTCGGCATGTTCGTATAGACTCCTGCCTGCGGGGGTCTCAATTCTTGATCCCCACGATGGATGTTTGGCGTTGAGATCCCCCGCTATAATGGCAGGAGTGTTATCAGAAAAGATATTCTGGATGTCACTGGCGTTGAAGGGCAAGCTGGGCGGGCGATACGCAGCGAACATACGTATCTCTTTCCCGCCCGCGTGGAGGCATACTCCTATGGAGCGCGTGCTTGTGAAGCTGCGCAGCTCCTCTTCGTCGTGTACTAGGTCCCGTCTTACCAACACGGCTGTACCTCTATAGGCATAGCCGTGGTCTGGGGAGATCTCATCCCTACGGTACACGACGAAGTTCGATAGGCGGAACGGCTGACCCGGGCGGAGCTTGGTTTCACCGAGCAACACAACTTGGATGTTGTGCTGCTGAACCAGCATCCTTAGCTCCGGGAGCCGTTGCTGTATGCCTCCAGGGTTCCAGTACATGGCCCTAATTTGCGGCGCCATTGCGTACCGCGGTCAGGGATTTAATGGCGTTCGTTAACGCTGTTAGGGTGTCATTGCCGGTGGCCATTGAGACAAGGATGTCCCCTAGGATACCTGTCACCAACCGGATCAATTGATTAATTGCCTCCTCTATTCCTTGCGCGACGTACGCAGGGTCGCGGGAATGGGAGGCAAAGGCGTGGTGGGTGGGTGGACCCCTTACCCCTTGGCCTTGTTGGGCCGGTTGTTGGCGTCGCTGCGGTGTTGATATTGCCGTCGTCGTGGCAACGTTCTCCCGCTGTTTTTGCTGCTTCCGTTTTTTGGAAACAGCGGTGGTTGTGGTCTGGAACTCGGGTTGAGTCATCGGGGTCGCCACTGCTCGGGCCGCTGTTTGCGGCTGGGAAGCGGCTTCACCCTGAGTACTCTTCTTCTTTTTCCTATTCCCCCTCTTCCTCTTCTTTTTGGCCACTTCACCACGAATTGTGGCGTCGTTGGCCGGTGGCATAAGTGTGGCATATGTGCCTGCCGTGGGCTGCGTCGTGCTCGCAGCCGTTGCGGGAATTGTTGCCTTGCTTCCCTGATTTAGAGGGGGAAGAGGCATAACGCTCCTTTCGAGTGGGTGTGGTGTTTGTCTGGGTGGTGGAGGGGGTGGTAATGGTGGCGACAATTTGATGCCACGACTCTTAGCCACCCGCTGTAGTACTGCACAG